CAGTTTAGCCTCGCCATTTTCGTCAGGCTGCCTTTCCAGCAGCTGCTATATTTTGTTGTTCTACTTCTTCCTTTCATAACTTTGCTGCTGTGAATTGGGAATTTCTCCATTGCGAGACTAATAAAGGTTTTCTTTTGGGTGAAGGGTATCGTACCCAAGGAGACAAAATTGGATTGGGGGTTACGGTGTGCAAACATTAGACCCTAAAGGCAACTCCAAATAGCTTGCATCAACTTACTTTAACCCTATCATTAAACAAAACAAACAAACAAAAAGAAGATGAATGACATGATTGGTGGCTAAGCGTTTCAAGAGATGAAAAAAGATGTCAATCAAAACATAAAGTGGTGGTGGAGGAAATGAAATCAATCTGACAGCGCAGGAGTCCTCACTGTTATGTCAAAGCCAGTTGTTGTCGGATAGTGGTTATGTATTTCAGAAGGCACAATACTGTACCCCTACAAGTACAGATGTTGAAGGCGATTCTTTTGGTCACCCTCAACTGTTTAACTTAGAGAACAAACTATCTAGATAAAAAAAAAAAAAAAAAAGTAAAAATGCTTTTTGGCTTTCACACCCCCATCCGAGAGGAAACAATGTTGGATTTGCTCCAACCACTCCAACTGTATGGTAACTGATCGTGAACGCTGAGTCCGCAAAACACAAGCCTTGATGAGTGGCAGGATGTGGCTGACTTTACGACTCTCCAGGCATGTTGAGAGCTGTACATGTTGGTTGTTATTTTACCTACATATTTTCCAAGAGACTGATGTCACTGGTTTGGATTTGGGCAAGAGGCAAGTATGTATGTGGTGTACTTTTCACTAAATATGATGTCAAATATGATGACAGGTTTGGAGAAGAAAGATGCTGCTCATTCTCTGCTCAAGGGCAAAATTGTTGCACCCTTTTGATAAAGAATAAAGCACCCGCACTCATCACCGAAATAACTTTAAACTGATGACAGCCCGAATGTAGAATAAGCCACAAGGCCTCTAGGAAAATGTCCTTGTGACAGTTGTGGGGTTTTCTTTCTTCACACGACCCACAAAAATCACAAGTGCCCTTGGTTGTCTGTTGTTGCTATTTAATGTTTTATTTGTTTATATTTATAGATGTATGTCTTTATGTATTTTTATGCAGTTCAGGTTGCTGCCATTATTTTTAGCTGTGTGTGTTTCAATGCACCACATGTTTGCACTGTGTTTGAGAGAGGAAAGTAATTTTGTCTGTGCTGTATGTTGCACATAGAGCATATTTGACAATAAAACTGACTTGACATGACTTGACTTGGTACCAACAATTCGGCCGGTGCCATGTGTACAAGCTCAGTTGAGGGGTTGCTTCATGCAAGCTGGCACAGGGTGTCTGGAACCTGTGCTGTGCAAAGGCCGCCTCTTGTGCTGAGTGCAAAGGAATCTCAAAACTATCAAGGTATTCTGGTGCCTGCCCAATGTTAGAATCCTTGGTCACAGTTTCAGGTCATGGGTCTGGATGCATTGCTTTCTTTTTTGTTTTCTTTAATGTGAATAAAGATACAATGTTACGTTATGTACAATTTTATAGACAAACAATACAATTTAAAGGAGAGTTGGGGGTGCAAAATATTTCCTTCTTCCTTGGCAGGGGCATAACAGAAAATAATTTAGAAGCACTGCTCTAAGTGGATAAGTGTGCTGTGGTCTGATGAGTCCACATTTGAAACAGTTTTTAGAAATCATGGACTATGTGTCCTCCGGGCCAAAGATGAAAAGGACCATTCGGATTGTTAAGAGCACAAAGCTCAAAACCCAGTATCTGTGATGGCATGGGTGACTTTACACATCCTCACATCTGTGAAGCCACTAATAATGCTGAAAGGAACAGACAGGTTTGGAGCAACGTATGCTGCCATCCAAGCAAGGATGTCGTTTTTCAAGGACGTTCCTGCTCATTTCAGCAAGTCAATGCCACTTTTAGCATGGTTTTGTAATAAATGAGGGTGAGTACAAGACTGGCCCGCCAGCAGTCCAGACCTGTCACCTTTTGAAATTGTGCAGTGCATTTGGCAGTGCCAAATATTACAACAGAGGCCCCGGATTGTTGTGCAACTGAATTTGTACATCAAGCAAGAATGGAAAATAATTCCACCCACAAAGCTGTAACAATTAATGTCCTAATTTCCACATCCTTATTGAGTGCTGCTAAAAATAAAGGTGTCAGTTAGAAATATGCCTCCGCCTTGTCCCAGCTTTTAAGGAATGTGGTGTAGGTCTCAAATTAAAAATGAGTAAATGTTTGCAAATAAACAATAAGGTTTGTCAGTTTGAATATTAAATATCTCATCTTCATAGTGTATTCAATTCAATGTAAGTTGTAGAGGATTTGCAAATCATTGTATCATATTTTTATTCATGTTTTATACAATGTCTCAACTGCAGTGGTATTGGGGTTTGTTCTAAAACTGTCTTTGGATGAAACTGAAGTAAGACACATCACAAAGTTGATTAAATCTGGACAAAACAAATGGAGGCATCATAATTAATAATAATCATTTTTGTTTGGGTCGTAAATTTAGATTTATCTATTCTATCTCCTTAACTTTTGTGTACTTCAGCAGCCACTTCAGTCCCAAATTGTGAGTGCCTGACTGGCTCTTATTATGTCAACAAGCTAGTTAAAGAAAGGTGGGTGTAGAAGTTTCAAACTCTCAAATAGCCCCAGGCAGTCTGAGATGATAGAGCTCTTTTTCTCAAGTGATGGCAATGGTATTTGTTTTTTTACAAAACAAATTGCCATGTGAGCTGTTTGTTTCCTTATTTATGTATTCTGGCAGGCTCCACCCCTAAAAAGCCTCTTAATCATAAACAGCACAATTTGAGAGCCAAATTTTCTTTTATTGTTATTTACACGGGCCATTGATCGTAATATATTTTGGTCCATTTAGCAGGCTTTTAGCGTAGTTGATGTGTGCTCAATTTCCACTCCCACATTCACAATCGCACTGTGATTGACTGGCAATCAGTACAAGGCATACACTGTGCAAATTCACATCGTTTCGAGACCAATTCCTAGTCAGTCAAATCATTTGGCTGATTCAAGTCAGGTTGGTTATCAGTGGATGTGCAGTCTGTTTGGGTGGGGGCCAGCGGGTATTGTAGCCACAAACATAGTTATATAACCATTCGACAAATTCAAGCAGACTTCATAATATGTTTTCCAAAGTGTGTCTTTTCCCCTGCGGCCACGGAATAAAGTACACATACGAATCACATTATAGGAAGCGTGTTGTTGCATGTGTGTTTCTGAGTGCTTGGTACATATCAAGGCACACATCAAAGGGTAAGCCTGTTGTTTTGTCGTCTGTGTTATTTTTAACTTCAACAGTCCACACGCGGTGAAAAGGCCTTCCTCATCTTGATTTGTTTTGGCAGTTGACAATAGTTTGTCGAACAGCACCAACCTAAACGTATAGTGGGAGAAGTTAGTTTGTGGCTCACCGTTGCTCTGTTACGTTTGAGCACTTCAATAGTTGGCTTTGACTTTGTAGATGCTTAACACGTACAGTGCAAGTTGAAGTTGATAAAACAATATCACAATGTTCAGCATATACCCGGTTTAAGGCAGGCCCCGGCCCCTTCCAGGATAATTGCTGCATAAAATGGATGTATGGTTTTGAAACTTGATCGCCAGTTTGGTCAAGCAGCAACTGAGCTGCTAACACACCATGAGCCATGTATGTTCCTGTGAATTGTCGTGCTTTTTATTGCAACTGGGAGCAAAATGATGTCAGAAATCGGATGTCAGAAATTTACTGCCGAGCATGGCATGACTTTGAAGAAAAATTGTTGATAGAAGGCATACCTCCACCAAAGCCTAACAACCACAAGTTCTAAACATAACATTTTTGGTGCAGTTGCTATGGGAGACATCCATCCATTTTATATGACTGATTGTTGTCATGAGGCCCACGGGTGAGGTACGCCCTAAACTGGTTGGCAGGCAGTTTCAGTTATCAGTCAGCATAGCACATGTGTAGTGGCTTAGGCTTTGCAGCCAAAGGACCAAGGTTCAAGTCACACTGTGAACGAAAATGTCAAGTATGGAGATAACACGCATACTCCACATAGGAGGCTCCCTGCTGAGGTTGAAGTCAACTACCTCTTGACTTTTACACAGATGTGCTAACCACTACTTAACAGAGCTACCCTACGCTGAAAAAAATGGTGTGTTGAATTTACTCAGTGGTTTCATGAAATAAAATCATCTCCATCCAGATAATTTTTTTGCTAGACTACACATCTGCTTCAAAAAATGTATCGAAATCCAGATGCTTCTATTGTGTGCAGCCATTCGACAAAATAAAATGGAGTGAATTCAACACACAATTTTATTTCAGTGATCGAGTTAAATGTATCAAAACGTCCTACTTGCATTTGGAAGTTTCATGATTTATTTTTGTGTTGCCTGAGAAAAGCAGCAAAGCATCTTAGCTCAAAGCTGGAATCCACCGCCAGTTCCCCGCTAAACTGGATAATGTGTTTTTGCTCCGTCTGCTCCTTGACCCAGTTCGAAAGGAAGTGCTAATGTGTTACCCTTTCCTCTGCTTCTGCGCTGATTAGCCCAGATGTTGCAAATAAGTCCAATTTTGCTCCGAATGTAATTTCAGCATTATTCATGCTTCTCCTTGCCAAGTGAATGTGAAGGTTAGGAAATCTGAGAACAAAATGCGCCTGCTTGTCTCAGTGTGCCATCGTCGAATACAGTACTAACTCTTCGTATCTGTCTGCAAGCATGACATTTGCTGCAATATCAAAAGTATCAGATGGATTTTACTTCAGCCATTCAAATGTATCGGTCACCTTGTGCCACCTCAACTCTCATTTGTGGCCGACATTTCAAGAATGTGAAACATATATAGAGTCAGAAAAAAATGCAGAACTGTGTATGGCGTGTGTGTGTGTGTGTGTGTGTGTGTGTGTGTGTGTGTGTGTGTGTGTGTGTGTGTGTGTGTGTTTCAGTGTCGGTGGTGGAGCTGGTGGAAGCCTGCTGTGAGACGGGGGCAAAATGGGCTTCAGTTAATGGTCACTGCAACAACATGGATCCACCCACTCAAGACAGACAGTCCATATGCTGGTGAGACGATCTTGTCACTTCATTTGAACATTAGAACCCGTATCACTTTCAGTACTTGACATCTCAAAGTTCGTTTGAAACATGAATTTACGGTTAAAAAAAAACAAACAAACAAAAAAAAACACACACACATACATTTGTATTTTTTGGGCCTAAAACAGTCATTTAAGTTGGAAAAACTTCACAACTGACTTATGGCAGAAATTTTAGTTAGCGCAACAAGCAAGTTGTTTTTACTTAGATCTGGAATTTGCAGTTCAGTAGAAGGGACACCCATTCTGTAGACTCTTCTTTCTTTGTTGGTAAATGCAGGAAAGTCAATTTAAAAGCAAAAGTTCAAACATTTGGTTGAAGTACAAAACTTCAAAAGTTTGTTGTCTTGGAATTTTGAGTCCCACCAGCATTTTTTTGCAAGGTCCTGTCAATTGACAAATCGGTGACTTAATTTTCATTTGTGTTTTTCAACTACAAGCACATCCCCAATTTACTGTTGAATCCAGATTAAATGGTCAATCATGGTAATAAAATAGATTTTTTTTTTTGGTGTAACAAACTCCCTAACCGAAAAATTAAAGTTGGCATAGATTTGGTATTTCAAATTAATACACTCTTAAAAACAATAACAACAAAACTTGAGTGATCTTTCAAGCCAACAAACTTTGATAAAATTATGAGTTGGGCAATTCAGACAATGTCGCTAATTTTGTCACATCATGTTTTTGACCAAATTTTGTGTGTAAGCATTATCATAACCCAAGAGTGAAGTGGTTTCTTTTGATCCGGATTGTGATCTGCATCCCCTCAGGATTGTAATTCCAATCCACTGCAGGCACACCTTGCTCAAAAAGATCTTCTTAAGGTCTTCAGTAAACTATTTTTGAGCCGTGTCTGTGGAACAAATAGGCTGCCCGCTCGTTGCTGCAAAGCCTCCGTCTCACTTTGTCTGTCTCAACTGTCCTTTTCTCTGATGTGCTTTTTTTTCTGTCTGCCAGGACGTCTCAGCAACAGTGCTGCCTCGGCTCCCTGAGAGAAAGCCGATGTCTGGCTGGAATCAGTGCAGCCAGAGACGGAGATATGTGTGTAGAGGATGCCAGTGATACATGTGGGCTCTCTTCCTACAAGGCAAGTCGCTGAGGGCAAACGCAGTTCACTGGCTTCAAAGTCAACATTTAAATTTACACGTTAGGCTCAAAGCCATCCAAATGAGCAATTCACAATTGCATTAGTCACAGAAGACTTGAGGCTGCAGAGTCAGTGTCTTAATGTCGGGCCTCTTCGCAGATGATTTCAGCAATAGTTGAAGTCCTTGGTAAATTGCCTTATTTAATTCAGACAAATGACTGAGAGTCACTTACAGCTGAAGATTCCCGCTGCCTCACGAGCGTTGCTATCTTCATACGAGACATCTTCCGGAACATTCGTTTGACCTTTTTGTAATTGTAGAAACATGTTCAGGAAATGGATGGAATCATTTGGTGTGGTAATGTAGTCGGAGATTTTGAAATTGTATACATTCAAGTTACATTCCTATTCCCTCATTCAATAGCATACCAGCAGAGTAGCGTCAACTCTCTCAAGGGCTGCTTTCATATCACCATTTGCAGCCTTCATCAGAATTCTGTCAATGCACTGCAGCGCTTTCAATGCTTCAATGAAGTCAAGGGTGTGTTTGACTGCAATGTTTTCCTGATCAAGTATTTTTAGGTATCTCCAATTTTCCCTAAAGTTTTTATCAGCTCATTCCCAGATGGATTCATGAAACAAACTCTTGATCGAACAAACCAATTTCTTCATTTCCCAACTTGATTGTTGAACAGGCTGAATTTACGCAAATATTTTGCGACTGATCACATGAATGACAATAATCACATGGGGGGGAAAAAACAGTTTTCCATCAGAGAGGCTAAAAGAGAGATTTGGAACATCGTTTCTGAAGCAAATAGCAAGATATCTTTCTTTTAGGAAGGCCCACTCACAAGTATGATTTCATACTGGCACAGAAGCGCTCAGCAAATTTGATCTCAGACATAAACACGAACACACACAAAAAAAGTATATGTGTACTTTTTATTTTTATTCCAATAGTGCTTAAGTATGAGCATACACTTATTTGACACTTCATATAGCCAGCGTAGAAAGAAAAAAAGGGAAAGTAATTGCGAAATTTACGATCAGCATTTACTTTCACATACATCAATTTCTTGCATAATGTATTTTGTTTCCTCCATCTCTCATTTTTATTACCTTTATCCTGTCTTCAAGCGTTAAAGCTTTTCTTTTCTTAACTCCTTGGTATGCAAAGGTCCGTTTTGTCGCCATTTTAGCAATGTAACGTTTGCGATGCGTCTGAAACTAACAATAACAAATACTTCCTGTACAACTGTGCATGTGTAAACCAGTGTGGTGGTTGCTGTTGCCGTTTCCGAACGAAGCAGTAGAGGTCGCAGTGGCATGCTGAGGTTGGATTAGACTTTTGCGGAATGCTTGTTTTCGTTGTAGTGAATCTCTTTGAGAGGCAAGAGCAGAGAAAAAGATTTTGTATAACGGAACAGGGGGACTTTTCATTGTAGATGGAGCAGAAAAGTGGGAATGGCTTTCATGTATGAACATTTTTTCACACTGGGGTGTATTTTCGCCCATGTAGGTTTCGTTGTAGAGGAGTTTCACTGCATCATTCTCTGTGTCGCTCACTGAACCCCCAAAATCTTTTCAATACATATCAAACACATCCAGTACAGACAGTAAACATACTGCGCACGTCATGAGTGATTATGGCCTCCAGGAATGCTGTGACTGCTGCTCTCTTGGGATGAAGTTCCACAGTGAGGGTCATGAGTGTAAAGCCCACCGACACATGGGCCTCCCCTGCAGACACGTTTTCTTCTTATGCTGTGAGGGTGGGGTGGAGACACGGGAGCAAGGTCATGGCATCTGGCATGCTGTCAAAGAGAAGCCCGCTCTCGGTGCCACTTCACCACCGAAAAAAGGTATGGACAGAAAATGCAGACACCCCCACAAACCAGAACAAAAAAAAAAAAAAACACTAACAACATTTCCAAGGCATCGTATGCTTCATGCAAAGAGGTGAAAGCATTCCATCGATGCACGGCCGGCAAAACGTACGGCTTCGGACCAAAGGTGACCCATTTTCTTGGCATTTAAAAGAAGCAGGTCACCCAGAACAGCTGAAAAATGGCCTCCAAGACCAAAGTGCAATTATAACCTGTCCAGCCTGCTTGCTTAATTCTAAGCGATGGAGTACTGTACCTGCTTTAGTTTTCCGCTTTGCTCTTCCAAGTTTTGTCTTGGTGTTTATTGCTTCAAGTTTGGAAACTCACTTCAGTTGAAATCCAAATCGTTGTAAAGGATTATTTTGCCTGAATGATGGCCTCGAGTCTGCAGATCAAAGATGCAGTATTCGATTGAATGGAAAAGGATGGCAAGATACCATTTTTCTATTTTTTTATGATCTTTTTCTTATATTCAAGGCACTGTGCAGGTGACTCAATTATGTGACGTCATAAAGTCACACTTTTTTTTTTAAATTTGACATACTGCTTGTGTGTTGTGCTAGATAACGCTTTGTCAATAGCACAGAATGTGCAACGTACCTTAATATTTTCTTTAGCTGACAACAACTCAAAAGGGTGACTTTATTTCCAGCATGGAAACACACATTGCTCTGCTTCCTCCAATGTCCTTTTTCCTGTGGTCTAAACGTGATATGGCGCAAACGTGACGTCGCTCCCCCAGACGGTTATGCCAATTGTGAAGTGACTGAATGCTTCACTTCAAGTTTAGTTGCCCTTTCTGAAGTGTTCTATAATCTAAAGCTGTGTTTTTTTTTTCCAGAAATTGGGTCTCCTGTCTTCTATTGTTTATTCATTATTATTTTTGTTCCACAAACAGTCACAAGAGTAAACTGTGATTGACAAATATATGAATCCTCTTCAATTGATCTCAAAAGTCACTCACTTGCGGCACTTCGAGAGCAGTTCATGGCATGGCCACTTAATCATGAACGTTAGATGACGTAACTATATAGAGTTAGATCAGTTGTTACTGTAAAAAAATGGATCGATTATTAGGCAAATGCAGTGCACATCAATGGTTAGCAGGGCTTTTACAGTCAATTCTCAATGGACATGTGTTCTTCTGCTCTCTGTGTAAGGTATGATGCTGCCATTTGTATGTAAAAACTGTGTGCTACAGTGTCCGACAGCCTTTATGCGAATGAGGCCTTCTCTATTGGAGAAGAGAGACACGGGGAGAATGTGGTGGAGGGGCCGATTGAGGTGGAGGACATGGACGAGTGCCTGATCTATGAGAGCAACATCTGCCACCACAGATGTGTAAACACAGCAGGCTCTTTCCGCTGCGAGTGCTTCCCAGGATACGTGCTGCAAGAGGATGCCATCAGTTGTGCCCAAGGTAAAACTTTATGGGGTGCTAGCAGACATTTCCAGTGGAGCACATGAGCAGGAAAAGTGTCTGTCCGCTCAAACGTGATTGATAGTCAGCAAAGACAACATGATGTCATTTGTCTCCGTGCTCGCAGCGTGTTATTTTCTCCGTCTCTTGCGAGTCTCGCCATTCAAATTGCATGCTACCATCCCTTTCCTGGACCGACAGCCCTTCTTGGCAAATCACGGCTCGCCAGCTCGCTCGCAGGCTGACAAAAGCCATTGCAGTCTTTGATGACAACTACATCGGTTGGAAAAACTCGCACAAACTGAAAACAGGAGGTCCGCTCACATGTCCAGTTATGAGAGGTATTTGCAGATAACATCGGATGGCTCGACTTCAGCGTTCCAGACTTGATCAACAACACTTTGGCCAACACAAACCTGTCTCAACAGGATGCAAAATTACAGACAGGGATGGAGCTCGCCAGTAAAGGCAAATGTGTGTCTGTAGGCAATGCTTTTTCCTGCCGCACCTTCGCTGCTCTTACATATTTTCCTATGGCTGCCAGCATCATGTCCTCAAATGAAAAAGCCAAAATCGGCATAAGCCTTTAACTAACTAAGGCGCTGCTAGGCAAGGCAGACTTCTTGATTACAGTGTAATCCTTTGTGCCTGTGATGAGATTATTCATGTTTCCGCAGAGACAGTGGATGAGGAGAACACACTGAAGGAGGATGACAGGCAGGGGGTGGAGCCCACCACCTCTTTTACGCCACCCACCCAGCCTTTGGTGACACTCAACCCCTGTGAAGGTTAGACAGCTTCGTGAAAGCCAAGACGCAGCATTTCGGTCGCCCTTACGTTCTAATTCAGCACTAAAGTGTGCATCATACGTGATGTCATTAAAATGACGGGAAGAAAGGCTGGTAGTTAGACAAGCTTTTTTGATTGCATCAGTCAAGGTTGGGTGTTTTAGGCCAGGAGTGTCCAAACCTTTTCGTTTGAAGGCCGCGTACAGAAAAATGAAAGGATGAAAGGGCCACATCAAAATTGGTCAACGTTTTGGAACATGCTAAAGTCAGTCCAGAAAGCAATTATGTAATGTTTTTAATTTCATCAGCTTTCTGTTGAAGGTGTTCAGGCAAACAGTTGAGGATTTTTCCAAGTTTTTGGGGTGGCCAACAGCCGTCCATCTCACGGAGTAGATCCAGCTCTGTACTTGACAGCAGTCAAATCCCATCCCCACATTCAGAACCCATTTTTCAAACAGTTACTTGAGGATCACTAATGTGATGTCTTCATAAAACCGCCATCGACTCGTGATTTCCGTTTCGAGGCTCAAATGTTTTCCCCCCCACATCCTGCTGTCTGTCAAGGTCTAATTTGTGAACATATCCATCCATCCATCCATCCATCCATCCATTTTCCGATCCGCTTTATCCTCACAAGGGTCGCGGTGGGTGCTGGAGCCTATCCCAGCTGTCTTCGGGCAGTCGGCGGGGGACACCCTGAACCGGTTGCCAGCCAATCGCAGTGCATACAGAGACGAACAATCATCCGCACTCACACCTTGGGACAATTTAGAGTCTTCATTTAGCCTGCCATCATGTTTTTGGAATGTCACATTAATAATTAATATTCTGAAAAATCCAAAACTGTTTGCCTTATCACCTTCACATAAAAATAACGCAAACCCAGCTAAAATAATTCAAATACATCATTGATCATACATGATTGATATGGGCATGTTTCAATGTCAAAGCAACCCTTGCAACTTCCAATTTTTCCAATGTTTGAAAACCGCTGTTGTAAGTTCTCTATTGTTGCCATTTATTACATTTTGTTTCTCTTGAATATGTCAGTGGCGTAAAGGTCACACTGTCTGTGAGTTTAACGCAATGCAATCGGATTTTCATGAAAAAAGAACAACATAGGAATGGAAATGGAATACATATTTCTGTCTGCTGCACAGGCGTGGCGCGCAATGGTGTCCCATGTTCCCTGGTCCATTTTATGTGATCTCGTTGTGATTTTTGCAGGAAACAGTCCTTGTGACCAACACTGCACCCCGGAGGGCGGAAGGCCACGCTGCTCTTGTTTTCCAGGCTTCTCCCTCATGGGTGATGAACAATCATGTGAAGGCAAGGCACAGATAACACTGGAAGAAAAAATGATTTGGACAGTGTGGATGTTGGATACAATTACAGTACAATGTGGTGTGCAGTTTCAGCTCTCAGTTTAGCAACAGTTTGGCTCCAGTTGAGATTTTTGCTGGTTTATCTCCTGATGTCATCAGCATCTCAGGATGTGCAGAGGAGATTCGGCTTGAATCTTGACTCCTGGCAACACACAACATACCGATTCCAATATGCATTATAATACTTTGTGTACTCGCTGAAATTAATTTCCATCAGACGGAGCTGACATTGTATACATCTGATCAACTGCTTTTATGGCATCCTTATGCTGAAGTGGGGCGTTTCCACTAGTGGCCCATAGCATCTCTCTTCAAATTCCCTCTTATAGCTGCCAACAGCACAAAGACCAGGGCTGAGTTCATAGTAATATTTGCAAGCACCCGCCGACCACCCTTGACGTCTTTTTGCGCACCCGACTTAGTGGATTAGCCTTGCTCACAGTGACACCTTTCTCCTCTGTTCTTCTTCTTCTCCTGCAGATATTAATGAGTGTACGTCAGCGCATGCCTGCCAGTTGAATGAACGCTGCATCAATACCGCAGGGAGCTATGTCTGCCAAAGACTTATCGCCTGTCCGCCGGGATACCAAATCAACGGAGACATTTGTAAAGGTGTGTCACAATTTGACTACTGTACCGCCAAGCACTATCGAGCGAATTCACAGAATGAACAAAAGACATTGAAGAGAACATTTTAAAAACGAATTGTGTGACCATAGGCCCAAAAGGAAATGCGCTAAACCACAGCGTCATCTCAGCAAGAGGAGCTGCTGTGCAATACCCATGTAGGGGAGATGCCCAGTGTGGAGGAGCAGTGATATGTCTCATTGGTTTTATGCACTGTAAATGTGTCCTGTGCAGAGGTCTCATTCATAAAGCAGCAGCAGCGCTTTAGTCGACGATTATGAGACATGCCAGAACTGCTGCTTGCCTCTGCATGCGCTCTATGGAGTAAATCAAGGAGACTCCTCTCATCTTCTGCTCCTTGTAAATGTAAAGGATATTCAATCAAGCATGAAGAGCATTCATTAAAAAATCTAGATAGATAGATAGATAGATAGATAGATAGATAGATAGATAGATAGATAGATAGAGTGAAGCTCAACGCATCATCTTTTTAGGCCATTAACTCTTTGTTTTCTCGACCCGTTGGTAGCTCACTCAGACAATGTACCGGTAATTAAACTCCTCCTTTGTCTTTTGTCACCGCTGAAGCAAACTGACAACGGGGATGAGCTTAATTCTGTTGCGCTCTCAGAAGAAAACATGCTGGTGTGGTTAAGGCTGTTTATCAATTGTTGCCAACCTTGCGGTAATCATCATCTTGCTTACCTGATGCTTTGGAGAAAGCGCTATATAAAAATTAAGGCATTGTTTTTGATGTCAATTGCACCACTTGCTCTCTTCGTACTAACTGCAGTATAAAACACTGCACTAATTGAATAAATATTATTGAAGAGCAATTTTACAAAGGTTGGTCTTGAGAGAGCTCTTCGTACAACGAAGATGTCATATTTACTTGCCGTCAATAATGTTTGTTAGCAAAATTTTTGAAAACACATTATGATGTTTCCACAAGGGCTGTAAATTCCCCACACGAACAGCAATTATATATTTTTGTCATCATGCCAGTAGAAAACCATTTCACGTAGCGCACCACATCCCGCCCGCCTAAAAAAAATGCCGCCCTGTGGCGCTCAGACAAAAATGTCTTACCTTCGTGAGTGCGAAATTAGCCAGAGTGAGTTCATATTCGGTCTGTCAGTAATCGAGGAGAAATTGTAGAAGGAATGTGTACCATTGGGACACTTACAAAAAAATGCAGAGCAATATTATCCATTTCTCCCCTGTTTTCTTTAATTAGGCCTTACCCGCCTGTGCCAATTCATTTCTGGATCGTCAGATGGAAGCTCATTCTCTCACCAGCACTGTTAGGAATGGATATCCATCTCGGCGAGCTACACATGGCGCACGTGTTGTCTGCATTTTAATGAAAAGCCCAGGGTTCAAAGGGACACAGACATTCCCTGATGTCATCATTGTTCACAAGGTCGCAGCCAGTCTCACATTTTTTTGATTCTGCTTCTGTTTTCTTTCCTACCACATCTCAGTCATCACCACATTCCCAGGTTTGTGTGTATTCTGCAGCGAACTTCCAACTCTATATGCACATGGCGGACCACCATAGACTACGCTGCTGCAAACGCAGGAGCAAACTCCACCTGGCATTACTTGAAACTATTCCACATCTATGCATTATTCACTCATGCACATATGCGGCATGATTTGTCATTCTTTGAGGTAGCGATTCCCCTCGAGGGTTGGCTCTTACTGTGGCAACAGATGCCGTTTGATTGACGTGGGGTAAATCCCTTGGATGGCAGGTGTTGAGAAGACTCTTGAGGAATATACCACCGGGTTGAGCCAGAGCAGACAGATGTGCATTGAAAAATTTGCACAAGGCATGTGACTTCTGGGTAATTTCTATCGTTAAAATGAGCATTGCATCATTTTGTCAATTATGGGTGAGAGCACAAGATTCCTTTATGTTACTCACTACAATGACCTAGCAGCTGTAAGACGTTCACATGCATGAAGAACCTGCCTTTCATGAGAGCTTCACCCCATTAATCAATAGTGCCATCTCGTGGTGGCGTATGGCGTTACTTGCATTTCAGCACCTTACACAGCATTATATCGCATGAGTTGGATCTATTTCCCCACTTTTATTGAGCCAAGGCAGAAAAATGGAAAAATCATCGCATACCACCAAATAAAATTATATTCTTTATACTTAAATCATGATGGATACACAGTTGTGCCTTTTTGTCAACTAGTGGAAAGCATTTTGTTCTGGCTGTCACTGTAACGTGTCTGTTATAGAAATACGAACAAATGATTTGTCCTAATAATCATTTTAAAACCAATGAATAGAAGTTGGATAATTTTCCACGGCATCCCTGATTATCTCTTTCGGCACACTAATTACCACGGCGCTATGGTTGGGATTCAATACATCAGATGACTTGACTGTAACCGATGACTGTATATTTGATGTGTCGTCCTTTTGCAGTTAATCATGGACACGCTTTGATCAGCCCTTGTGTTTTACTCTCTTTCACAGATATTAACGAGTGCATGGAAGGGAGTCATGACTGCATGCCCGAATATGAGTGTGTAAATACTGAAGGTTCATTCAGATGCAACCTCAAACCTCGTTGCGCTGTTGGATTTGAACGGGACGCACAAGGCAACTGTATAGGTAGGTGGAATCTTTCTTATTGACCAACCCGTTGATCCTTGTGCAATCAAACACAAGGCAGGAACTCAAAATATAACACTGTTTTCCAGACCGATCCTAAAAAGTCATTTGTTGAAAAATTGCAATTTGCTTCCTTTCTAATCAGCATTCAAGAATAACGCACCATGACCAGGAATTACTCCAATTGAATCGCTGTAAATGTCCCTCCTGCCATTTTCTCAGGGACTTGCTTTGCTTTGACCTTTCTCGTGGACAAAGTAAATAAAATTGATTCTTCTTGCATCTGAGAAACATAAACACGCACCACATCTGACCTAGACACCTTTAATAAGAATCAGAATCATCTTTATTGGCCAAGTATGTAGAGACACACAAGGAATTTGCCTCCATTTGTAAAGGCTACACTCGTATCATCAATAACAAGCAACAACGATAAACAAGGACATGACAAAGTAGTATGGAAAGACATTCCGTAATGTAAGGGAACCTTTGTGCGGTAGTACCACACAAAGACAGGTGTGAGACAATGTGCAAAGTATCAAGCAGAGCTAAAGTGATCAGTGGTAGAATATAATACTATAACAATTGTGCAGTTGGAGCAGATTATCATTGCACCATTTTAAAGTGACCAGTAGCAATATTTGTAGAGCAAGTTTAAGTGTGCAATTGTACAGAAACCCTTGAGCGCTTTAAAGATTCTGGTGCTGTGGAATAGAGATCAGTGACTACAATAGCTTGTTGTTTCTGCACATAAAAAGGTTTATGCAGTGCCACAGGTACATGCAAGAGTAATGCACACACATATTTTATGCTTTAGCACATACTGAGCAGGGCAATCTGATTGGACAACAGAGGAGAGATGCTCCACAGAAGATGTGGCAAGGTCGATGAACAATTCTTCAAAATCTTTCTGAGATTGTTTGGGATTGCGTTGCCACTGCTACTGACAACTTGCAACCCAACATGGCTGTTGGTGGCTTTACTTGTCGCTATACGGCAAGTAAGCGGCATTGTTTGTCCATCATATGTAAGTCTTGTGTGATGGTCTTTACCTGAGCCTTTCGGCCACAGGTGTCAAACTCAAGGCCCAGGGGGCCAGATCAAGCCCCCCACATAATTTTATGTGGCCCGCAAAAGCAAATCATGTGTGTCAACTTGCATGATCCATCCACCCATTTTCTGATCCGCTTTATCCTCACAAGGGTTGTGGGAGCCTATCCCAGCTGTCTTCCGGCAGTAGGCGGGGGACACCCTGAACCAGTTGCCAGCCAATCGCAGGGTACACAGAGACAAACAACCATCTGCGTTCACACTCACACGAGGGACAATTTAGAGTGTTCAATTAGCCTGCCATGCATGTGTTTGGAATGTGGAAGGAAACCTGAGTACCCGGAGAAAACCCACGCAGGCGCGGGAAGAAGATGCAAACTCCACACAGGAGGGCCAGAGCCGGGATCGAACCCACGACCTCTGCACTATGAGGTCAACGCGCTAACCATTCGACCACCGGGCCGCCCAACTTGTATGATCCTTGTTAAAATCTTTACCGAAATGTCAAATTGCTATGTAATGTTGAGATTTTGTTACCTTGGTCACACTCACTTGAACAATAATCGAACAAACAAGAAAGAGTTGACTTGAGTGCTTTTTACAGTAGTAAAGATACGATGAGATGATTTGTTTGGTTTCACTGTCGTAACGGTCCTCCAAGGGAAGACGTAACTCCAAAGTGGCCCGTGACAAAAATGAGATTGACACCCGTGGCGCTTGTGATGTCATTTTTGGTCGACAGCAATTGCCAAAATGGCCACCCCCTAAGCTGAATAAAACAGGTGGATTTTTTTGCCTAATTCATATTGCAGACCGTATTATTGTCAAGTAAATGTTTCACTTGCCATCCGCTTTAAACAGATGCTCCAATAATCAGTGTAAACGGGAAGCGCTATGCCATTTAAGTAGAAAATAAACAGGATGGCAACTATAATATGACAAACTGATTTACCCATTTTAAAGGTGTAGTCATAGCATGAGTATGTGCCGTTATTCATCCAGTTTGTTTCCCACTGAGTCACTGATTGTGTAGTGGTTAAACCACCTAGCTTCCGTGCAGGTAGTGTGGGTTCGATTCCCATATCTGTGCCAGCGCCATGATTCATTGATGATAGGTCCAAGGTTTTTTCCCGAAGTGAGTTGCAGCTGTCCGTGACCTCAACAGGATGAGTTGTGTAGAAAATGGCTGGATGTTTTGTTTTTTTATTATTTATCATACCTCGCGTACCTCCTCACTATGTATTACTTTGAATTGCTCTTAAGCTAAAATTCCTTGCAAAAGTAGCTTAGAAACTAAATTACTAAAAATCAAGTGTGACGGAGGGATCTTATTCTAAAAATAAGTCCTGACAAATGTCAACCCATGTCGAATGAATTTTTGAGAAAGGAAAGGGTTTTTTGGGCGTTGATTGAAACCCAGATCAGTGTAGTCATGCGCGGCCTTTGCCAGCAGGTGACTCCCATGCAGCCCTTGATGACTGCATGGTGTGTCCTACAGGTGAGTGAGTTGCAGGCTGCGGGGACACGGGGGTTAAATGCCACACAGGCAGGAGATCAGAGAGGCTGCTTTCGGGGGCTGAAAGGGGGGCAGGGGGGCGGATAAAAGGCAATCCTCTGTCCTACCCGACTACAAACTGATGCTGTGGAATTAGCCCCCAGGGGCAGGAACTGGGGCAAGTTGAGGCAGCCGACGCCACTGTAAAAGAAGTTGAAGAAATGATCTGAAATATGGCGAAAATCCGACACACGGTCGGTTCATTTCTCCAAAGCATTGCGACTGTGTGATGTGATTTGCTTTGATATGCGAATGTGGCTCAAGCGATGTCCCGCCGCCTCTGTGGCCGTGTCTGCTCACCACGATCGCTTTGTGTCTGTCTGCACTAGATACTGATGAGTGTCGCAGTGAGCCATGTAGCTCCAGCTTGAGCTGCATCAACACCGTGGGCTCCTACGTGTGTCAGAGGAAGATGATATGCAGCCGTGGCTATCACACCAGTTCTGATGGAAACAGTTGTGTTGGTGAGATTTGGCGTCAACTTTGGATCAACATCATTAAAAAAAAGGGAGGGGGTGTTAGTCCTTTTTGGGCACTGAACTAGGAATTTATTGGTAATTTAAATAGACAATAGACAAGGCCACATTTACCTGACGGCTCTAAGACGCGTCTGTCTATTTCTCCATAGGCAGGATGCTGGACACACATTAGCATTAAGATGTGCCTCATGCACCTGGTTGCATCTTGCTCTGTGTCAAAGCAATACAGAGAGAGGGAAAAAGCACTACTTTATTATCCGCACACTAAAACAAAGATTTTATAAGTGCAAATCTAAATATTTTACAATCAGAATATGAGGTCAACATTTATTATTATTGTAATTATTATTTATTATTTAAAACTGAAAACTATTGAAGATAACTACAGTAAAAAATATTGAAACCTATAATTGATTGCGACGATAAGTCATATTTGCCAAGAAAACATTTGACAGGATTTTTTTGATTTTTTTGTCAGGTGTTCTTGTTCTGACATCAAATAATATTGTCTGAATATTTGTTTCCACGGAAGACGTACTTGCACTAAATGAAAAACGACAGCTAATACATCTTGCGTCCATGCATCTAAGAACAAAAAGGGTTCTTGCTTGGGAAAATAAAAACAATGAAAATAAAATGTGTTTCAAATTGGACTTCATGCTCCACTGACAAAGAAGGTGAACCTACTCTACCAGTTAGTTTCAACGCAGCATTTGAGCAATCAAACTTAAGTACTTATATGACCCTTTCACTCAGATATTGGTAAATAAAACCATGCACTTCATTTCACAATTTTAAACAGTCGCCAGGTATTTTAATAACACGTCTGTGACACGCTTTAATCCAGATTGTCTTCCTGAAATTAGCCTGTTAAAGAGGGCGGATTTGTTTCTTGTAAGTAAGTGCAGCACTCATCCTGATCACCTCATCCAGATTTCCCGAACATGATGACTAGGGCAGAAATAGGCGTAGCTCCACTTCATTTCTACTCCATAAAATTTAAAAAGTGAGAGCGCATGAGCCCCTGAGGGAAAGCGTCGATTTCGTTTTCCCTCATGGAGACAGGCCCAATCCACCGAATTACACTTCTCGAATACAGCACCTACCCGCATATGTGGTGGAAATTTCACCGAGAAATCAAGCGTGTGCCGCTTATCAGAAGTAAAAACTTTTATCTTTAGCCTGTGCCTCTGTTTATTGTTTATAATAATAATAATAAATTTTATTTATAAGCGCCTTTCAAAACACTCAAGGACACTTTACAATCAGGAACAAGAACAATAACACCACAGTGCGGGTGAGCAGTGGCAGCCACATGCGCCAGCGTTCACTCAACCCTAGTGGAGGCTAATGTCAACTGAGTACAGTGGACTTCTGCCATTTGCAGGGGGTAAGGATTGGCATTATGTAGTGTTTCAGTCAGTGCAGTAGCCCAGCCAATCTAAATTGGTGCATTGAATTTCTGTAATTTTATTCCAAGTGGTTGCACATAATAAAATCATCTGGATTCAGATCTGTTTTTTTTTTAAGTATATGTAAAGTCTATTTAAAAATGTATCTTGATTCAGATGATTATTGTGATTATTTTGTGCAACCACTTGATGAAATAGAACAGTAAATTCAACAACACCAAAAAAAAAAAATCTGTGTATGCTAGTAACGAGCCAAGAGATTCAGTGTGGCGGTGGTTATTATGTAAAATATCAATAGTGGAGGTGAAGTGCCAAAAGGCTCGCTCACAGACACATTTTCAGATGGTCCGATGAAAGATTTACAAGAGTGTTGATTTCACACTTGATAGGTTCGCAAGGCATTCCTCAGCTATTCAGAAACAAACAAACAATGAAAAAGTCAATTTCCGTAATACATCCTTGTCAAAAATCGTTTTGGTTGTGAAATAGTGAGGAAGGTGGCTTTGGTATTGCGAACGCTACTCTATTTTGACAATGAATGTGTTACATTATTGCGCTCCATGTCAAGCCCCCATTTGCACATGAATACATGCATGCAGATCCTCGACCGTTGTAATTGTCTTTTGAAGGAGGAGTCACCCTTTGAACATCTCTGTGTGTCTTGTAGACGTGGATGAGTGTCGGAGCGGCGCCCATCGATGCGGAGAGGGCCAGCTGTGCCACAACCTTGCTGGGTCCTATCGTTGCGAATGTCAGACTGGCTATCAGTACGATTCCTTCAGACGCATGTGTGTTGGTATGTTGGACATTAGTTTATCGTTTTAAATCCTATCCTTACTGCTTAGCTGTTGGCTAATTGGATTCCTAACGTTGCATACAAAGTGTCGTACATAAAGTAAAAATCATAAATATAAAGACCAAGACATTTAACACAACACATGAAAAACATAAAAACAGTAAGCACAATAAAAGATGAAAATAATACAGATATAAACAACAACCAACAGTGCCACCTAGAGGAGTCAAAAATATACAACTGGTTTATGAACCACATTTGAAGCTTCATTTTCCCATACTTTACTTTTGTGGCAGAATTTTAATCTGAGCATCAATGGCAGCTGCCCTCTCACCCCACTTTTGTGTCACCTGCCTCATCACACATAAACTGTATATCAAGCAATACACCCTGACTGAGGTCTTCTTCTCAGATGTAAACGAGTGTTGGCACTACCTTGGCCGTCTGTGTGCCCAGACCTGCGAGAACACTCCAGGCTCCTATCAGTGCTCGTGCACTACCGGCTTCCGCTTATCCAGCGATGGCAATAACTGTGAAGGTGTGTGTATTAATGGGTGCTAAAATAGGGGTGCGCATCCATTCGCATCCATTTGTGCATGTTGTAGCATGTCAAGTGTAATTTTTTGTGTGTATGTGTGTGTATGGTTCGAGGGTGTGCAAACAAGTCTGTGTGTGTTTTGGGGCTGGCCCGTTCATATTGCTGCTCTTAGTCCATTGAAGAGTACATTATTAACATTGGTTGACTGCATCAGGTTATGCCTTGAAGGATGTGCCAATAAATGCATAATTGGCCGAATAGCAACCATGACTCCGTCATGTTAGCATAGAAACACTGCAAAGTCTTTGATCAGACATATTCTGACAGTAATGAGCTTCAACCTTTCATCTGCAGATGTGAACGAGTGTTTGTCGAGCCCGTGCACTCAGGAGTGTGCCAACATTTATGGCTCTTACCAATGCTACTGCAGACAGGGCTACTACCTGCGAGAGGACGGGCATAGCTGCGAAGGTGTGCCAAAATCATCTTCATAAAGGTTCACACCATGTCAATGTGAGGTCATCATCATTTTGACATGATGTATCCCCACCCTGCTTGCCAGATATCGATGAGTGTTCCCAAAGTATCGGCCATCTGTGCACTTATCAGTGTGTGAATGTTGCGGGCAGCTACCAGTGCGCGTGCCCGGAATCTGGATACACTGTGTCACCAAATGGCCGCTCGTGCAGAGGTGAAAACGTACATAACATAGAGTATGCAGTCACATTTTTACTGAGATGATTCATTGAATGCTTGTTGGATTTTCTTAGCTCATCTTGGTCATCTGACTTATTTACGTTCGCGTTCATGCCGCATTTCCCTGTACGCTAAACTTTTGTCTTACAGATATTGATGAGTGCACCACAGGGGCTCATAACTGCTCTCTAGCCGAAACCTGCTACAACATCCAAGGGGGATTCCGGTGCCTTTCTCTCAGCTGCCCGCCAAACTACCGCAAAATGTCCGACACGTGAGTATCCTAAAAATCAGAGTGGAACACAAACCTCACAGGATATCGTTGATCAAATATATTTTTTAAGTCGATGTATACTCTACATCAAAAAAGGCATCAGGATCCAGATTTTATTTTGTGCAACCTCTTGATGAAATCAAATTGAGTAAATTCAACACTTTATTTTTCCAGTGTGTCAAGTTTTTGAGATATTTTCTTATTTTTTTCTGTTTAAGTTTGACCAATAAAAGCCTGCGCAATGCGGATTTTACCCTGTGTTGTAATTTATACCTGTGACGTTTCACAAAAACCAAAAAGTTGTATAATTTTCAGCATGCTTGATATTATAATTTACATACTGTATGTAACACTCTTTTTTAAAGAGTTGATTATTTTAAAAAACTGGCGCCATTTTTTTTTGGGGGGGTCAATTATACGTGACATTTGGATTTTGCTGTCGTCTTTAGGCGCTGTGAGCGGATCAGCTGTCCCAACTACCTGGAGTGCCAAAAATCGCCCCTGAGAATCACCTACTACTACCTCAGTTTCCAGTCCAACATCATCACCCCCGCTCAGATCTTCCGCATCGGACCGTCGCCCGCCTACTCGGGAGACAACGTCATTGTGAGCATCACGGAGGGAAACGAGGAAAACTACTTCAGCACCCGCAAGCTCAATGCCTACACGGGCGCCGTCTACTTACACAGACAGGTTGAGGGTCCGAGGGACTTCCTGATTAATGTGGAGATGAAACTTTGGAGACAGGGCACCTTCACCACCTTCCACGCCAGGATTTACGTCTTCATTACGGCCAACTCACTGTAACAGTGGGAGAGTCTCCGCAGGCCAACGACGACCTGAAGATACATCAGTGTCATTTCAGAAACAAGCCCCTATCTGTGAATAGTGTTCCTTGCATCCAATCAAAAAGGACACAACGTCACTGAATATCACAATAACTGAAAGATTTAGCTACCAAAGGCAAAGTAATACTTACTATTACGTCATTAAGTTTCCTACTCAAGACTGTTCACCACCTATTGTCGTAAAAATAATATCTTTGCATTTAAAGAATTAAACATTTTCCGGTGCTTTAATTATCCAACCATCCATTATCCAAACTGCTTCTCCTCTTATCTTCCAACTAAAATCTCTTGATTTACTTGAATGAATGCCACACATACTGTGGCATCAATTAATCAAATACAGCAATTGTCATATTTGATAAATATGAGGTGCAGCGTCGATTAGATTTTTTTTTTTTTAATTCACTCAATTTTATTCCATCAAGTGGTTGCACGAAATAAAGTCATCTGGATTCAAATGACTTTTTTCAGCACCATTTTTATCAGTGTAAAATATTTCCATGCCTCAATGAACACCTACGACTATTCTTTCATGCTGCACTGCTGCCTCTAATTTGCTTTTGAAGTATTTTTCGAAATCCCACAGTGTTTTTTTTTGTATCCCTGTATTATATATTCCGTTGTATGTATAAGAATGGATGTATCATAATTTTATACCAAATACATAAGCTGCCAAGTAGTCAAGTCAACACCAATGTAGATGGTTGAGTTCTGATGAAATATATTTATTATGGTGAAGTATTTGTGGAGAGTTGTGTGTGTTTTGATTTATTATTTATTTCTCCTTTTTGCACGGCAGACATATTTAACTCTCTTCATACATCGATCCAGCCCTTTTCTCAACCACTTATCCTCAGTGGGGTCGCAGGTGAGCCGGGGCCTGACTTTGGGCAGGAGGTGGACAGTTCCAAAATAACTGCCTGATCTTCAAATTTCCGTTCCCTCTCGTTCCCTCAGGTCCTCATCCTCCCTCCACCTCTGTGTACCCTCGGCCCGTCTCAGTACGATGGGGTGCAGAGCTTTCAACCGCTCTGCCCCCAAACTCTGGAACTCACTCCCACCCAACATCCGTCCGTGATATTGATTCTCTTCCCACATTCCAATCTCATCTCAAAACCCACCTATTCAAAATTGCATACTCAATTTAAATTCATCTCTTCTTTTATTATTTATCATTTTATCTGTGGTTTTGTTGTTTTTGTCCTTGATTGTAAAATGTCCTTGAGTGCTTTGAAAGGCGCTTATAAATAAAATGTATTATTATTATTATAACGATGCATTCATGCACAAGTACATATATCAGGTGTTCACTCAGTCTTCTTCATCCTAGCGGTTCAACTACCATGCACCCGACATCCACCAAATACCTGAAGTCAATTAACTCCGCAGACCTGCTGTAATCCTCGGAAAGAGCATGTGTGTCTCAGTATTGATGCTTGCTACGCATATAAACAGGGCTGCTTGCCAGTTTTTGCTAGCGCGGATGAATTATAGCAGCGAAGGTCAGTCACACAAAAGATACTGATTTGTGTCATTTTGGCACTAATTTTAGTTTTGGGAAGCACAACAGCTGCCAGGTTGCACAGCTAGCAAAGAGGCAGCCGACGCAACTCTTGACTTTGACACTTTCCCAGTGACATAACTCACACTAATAGCTACATGTGCACTTTGGAGATCTGAGTGAAGCGTTCAGTGACTGAGATTCTATTGTTGGTATGTAGAATGTTGTATACAGCCTCACTTGTGTTGACTGACATCTCTTTCCTCTAATTAGCTTTATCTGCTCTCCAAGATTAGGTGGAGCTGTGTTCCAGGGACAGTGATTCATACATCCATGACAGGAAGATGCATACATCCATTAGGTTTTGAGGACACAGACAGGAAGTTTGGAAATGACCCACAGAGATTGATACTCTTGACCCTCTGAGTGTGTCAGAATACCAGCATCGCATCAATAATTAGACTGCATGTGCACTACAACCAGTAGCGGCCGGGGGAGGTTTTGTCAGGGGACCAAACAAGAACGACAAGACTTCTTCTACATTGTACCGTCTATGTCTGTAATATGACTGAAAGTCCATAAATCCACCATACCTGTTCTCATGCGGCCCCGAGTCCACATTGTCCTCTCAAAATGCTCGTAAAATATTCATTTCACTTCACTGAATTGAATATCAAAATAAGAATAGCTGCGCTGTGCCCTGTGGACGTGGCAGCCATATTGGATGGGGCAAGTTCCCATCGAAGGTGGGCGCCACTTAGCAGATCAGCCAGAGGTGGACCAGAAGTGACGTCATCTGACACCACTCCATATTTACATTTAATGTAGCATGCAAATAAATGGAATATTGAAAAATCATCTCATGTTAACCCCTATCACATGATAAAGACAATTAAACATGTTTACGTCATTACTGTCGTTTTGGAGCGGACTGTGTGAGGTACAGTCCAAGGGCTCAAAAGATGGCTTAAAAAAAGCAAGTCTTGAATGACCGGCGGACTGTGAAGGCCACGTTTGGGTGAAGGTTGGACTGAGGTGGTGTGAGGATGGAGCGTGGTGATGAGAGTGAGGAGGAGGCGTCGTCAGAGGCGCACTTGTCTTTGATAGCTCAGGTGGTCATTACCTGAGGGAGAAGGGAGTGTTAATGGGCATTCTAAGCACCAGACAAGCACAGGCTAGCGCTTCATCTGCCACAAGCGCTGGGAAGTATGCAGCACTGCAATATCATCAATCTGTGCATCTAACAGCACCGGGTCAGCCTCCATCTGGAGAAGTGTGACAGATTTCAACAAACATTTAACTACATATCTTTGCAACTGACTAAAAATCAAAACTAGCTCTTATTTTCATTCAACGACCCTTTCCACACCAGTCATTATGAAACTATGAAACATGAATATACAGTACAATAATAATAATAATAATAGATACACATTAGGTGGTATAAAAAGTCCACACACCCCAGTTCAAATGCCAGTTTTAAAAAAATCCACCATTATTGTCAGGTCATTAAAAAAAACTTTTAGAGAAGGGATGTAAAAATAAATAACTGAGATCATGTGTTTGCAAAAGTGTGTACACCCTCTTGTACCTGAAGATGCGTCTCTGTTCAAAATGAACCAATTCCATTTAACCTAATGTGAATTGGGTGAAAGTGCTGCTGCTCTTGGCATTTTCAGTTTTTTGGTTTCGCTTTTGAGCAGAAGTCTGAAGGTTTTGCGTAAGCACTGACTGCTTTTTGGAACTGTTCACACTTGACTTAGACCCCCGTTCCAAGTGAAGAAAACTAGCCCCAAAGCATGATGTTGCCACCACAATGCTTCACTGGAGAATTCGAGTGGTGGTAAGCAGTGTTCTGTTTTAACCAATACACTTTTTGAAATTATGGCCAAAAAGTTCAAGATTGGTTTCATCAAATCATAATCAAAAATTTCCCCACATGCGTTTGGGAGATTCCAAGTGTGGTTTTGGAAAATATTTGTGGGTGTGGGTCTTTTTGTTCTTGAAAGCAAAGATGGGCGAATGTTCTCACATGTACGAAACAGACAGTAGTTTCCGCAGTAATTCCTACAGCTCCTTCAATGTGCCTGGTTGTGATATTTTCTTCACTGTGTTCTATAGTATCTTTCATGCCTTGTAAATTTGTTGTTACCCTTCTCCTGACTTGATACCTTTGAACAATGAGATCCCAGTGAAAATTGTTGGCTCGTGCTGTAAAATGTAAAAACAAAAATGTCAGGAAAAGCCAACTAGAACATCAAAACTTCGGGTCAATCAGAGCAACTTTGAAATGTGGCAGGTGTCTGTTGACTCCCATTCAACAGTATTATCCTTGTCAAAATGTTTTATGTTTTTAGTTGAGTTGAACAGGTGACCTATTTATGCTGCAAAAACGTTTCTGATTGATATATCTTGGTGTAATTTTTTTTTTTAAATCACAAATTTTAACCAGTGTGTAGACTTTTTATAACGATTATAAATGCATCACTATTTAAGTTTTAAAGAGGCGTTAAAGTCCCTCCCTAAATCACCTTTTATTATTATGTTAAAATAAATAAATAATAAATCAATAATCATTATCGCTCTGTTCCTCGAAAAATATTTTTCAATAATGATCACTGAGGGACACTGTGACTTGGCTGGAATGGACTTGACCAGCAGAAGCGGTTATTCTCGCCTTCTTTGAAACAATGACTTCAGTCACACAGTACAGGAAATATTTATTCTCTTTCTCTCCTCCATTCTGAGGAGATGTAATAAAAGTTAACGGTTTGCGTTAGAGTTGTAGATGGGGAGAGCGGTGACTCAGAAACTTAGAAATACTGGGTGTGAAACATGTTAACTTTGTCTTGTAGTCGAAGAGAGAAATGAGCACGATTGTCTTGAATGAAAAAAAAGAGAAGGTGCACCGAAAGTGAGATAGTGAGTGAGGAATTTGCCTGAGAGGAAAATGGAAAGAAAAAAAAAAAGGTATGCAAGTTTGCCTGTCACTTATCACATTTATTTATCACATTTCAGCACATATTGCAACATTCTACTATTAATCTTTTGCGAATGAAATGAATCATGCTGCGTATACTCGGATGTCAGGGAGAATGTGTTAAAAAAAAAATTATAATAATTTTTTTCTTCTGGTGTGACCTGCAAGCAGGGCAAGTGGACGAGATCCAGGTCAAAGCAAGAGATTTATCCACACGGACAGACTGGGAGGAAAGGGCACACCCCTGCAGCAGTGCACTGACCTGAGGGGAAGCACCTCCCCACGGCTCCATGGGTGGGAAGATTTACTGGAGTCCTAATCACATGCCCGCACTTTGCCTGCATGTTCTCTGGCCAATGGGAGCGCAGCTGCGGTCCACGCGTTGTCTCCTTGACTTCCATTTTGACAGCCTGTAAATGTCAGACATTTTTGGCATGCTGGACTTCTTCACGCCACAAACGTTGTTTTCTTCATTCGTGATCTCGAAATTAGGATTGTGTTTGTAAAACTGTGACATGAAAAGTCTCAGCTGTACAGAGCTTACTGCACTCATTCTCTACGCTGACAAGGAAACACTTTTCATTCTAGCCTAATATTGTATATTTCTTTTGGAATAGAAATTGAAGTAAAACAAAAAACATCAGGAAGTGAAAGTCTACTGTATACAGTAGGATGAACTCTATTGAGTCATTGGTTTTCTTCTTATCAAATTGAGAATGTGTGACTAAACGACGGATCGCAACAACAGGAGAAGATAAATTGTCATTCAGTTGGGTATAGACATGCAAGGTGTCAAGAGGTTGCATCACAGAGGTGTTGCAAACTTCGCGACCTGTCCTCAAGTTTCTTACAAAGTCATTGATCCAGAAAATTGTTTGTTTCATCACTGCGTGGAGTCAAAACTCATGAGTCACAGATGGCACCCCTTCCAAACTGATGAAGTGTTCTGCATCTAGACTGACTTGTGAGAAAAAGTAATTTCAAACCAATCTACGACGTGCCATGTTTGTGTGAAGGGTTTTTGCCATTCTTTTGTTGTGGAAAAGGCTTCTTACATTGATTACATGATTGCATCATGACATTGATAAAAGTCAGAACTGCCTCGAGGAAATAAGTAAGCTATAAGTTTAAGTTAAAAAAGAAAATTCCTTGCCCTCTAAAAGGCTACAGCCAAAGTGACCCAAACTGTAAAAAATGGTAGGGGAAAAAAATCCAACTGATGCATAATTTAAATAAAATATGTCCTGTTTGTCGGAACACGGCATA